GGGTCCCAAAAATGGGCTGTTAAGCACCGAAAATTGTATTTGACCTCGAAGTGGGTTTCTTAGCCCCCAGTGTCCCTCAAAAGGGATGAAATAGGATGTATGCCAAAAATCAGAGCAATCGGAGATGGTTAAGCGGTCCCGAACCGAGGCACACGGCCTGACGGCTCCGAAAACCGGGAACCGGACTCCGAAATGGGCAAAATGGCCTACGGCCACCAAATGTAGCCTATGGACATTGAGAGATGGTCTACGGGACCTCTCCCTTCCCTCGGAAAAAGAAACAGAGAAAATCAAGTCTGGTTCGCAAACCGAGACAAGGCACAGAAAAGGGTTCGGAAGTCCGGAGGCAGGGCTCACGGCCGCGACTCTGAAACTTCTGAACGAGCAAATTATGCAACATCACCTAGCGCTCAATCGGTGACGTCTGAGTTTTAAGGTCGGTCAAAAATGGGGTGTCTACAGCAAGCTGTCAAGGCAAAAGGTAAGAAGAAGACGGGTGAACCTGAGGGTAACGGTTCTACTTCTGCTTCTGAGTCAAGCCAACAAGACCCACCTATTCAGCCAGAACTACAGGTGCAACCAATTTTGTCACTCCACAATGCTCCCAGTGCTGCACAACCTCAACAAGATCCCCCTCCAAGGGAGAGTCTCATACCTGACATTAACCAAGAAGTTCCACTCAAGTTAGTGCATGATGAAATTCTGGGTCTGGCCCAAGCCTTGAGTCCTAGAGCTAGCCAAATCATAGAGGAGGTGGAGAGAGAAGTGTTGGTAGCAAAAAGTCCAATGGTTAGTAGGGGTACTGTTATCTGTGAGAGGGAGCAACATAATACTCCAGCTTCAGGTAGCAATAAAAAGAAAGCAGCAGGGAAATCCTCTGGGAGCCAGAGGAAAAAGCACAGGTAAGTATTGAGATTTTTTTGTTTGGGTTAATAGTGATTTTCATGTCTTTTTGCTCATTATGGATTTTAAAATATCTTCATGGAATATCAGAGGTTTAAATGAACCTCTAAAACAAAAAGAAATAAGGAATTTTGTCCTTAAGGAGGATCTGAAAATTATTGGTATTTTGGAAACTAAAGTTAAGCTAGCTAATGAGCAAACTGTTTTTGAGAAAATCTTTAAGAATAAATGGGCTTTTGTTTCTAACTCAGACAATACTACGCTTGGTCGTATTTGGCTGTGTTGGGATCCCAATTTTTGTACTATTAACCCAATTTACCAATCTGATCAAATCATTTTTTGTAAAATCGACCTTTTTGAAGCTGATATTTCCTTTGCTGTTGGTTTTGTTTATGTTGAGAATAAACATATTTTGAGGATTCCTTTCTTTCAAAAAATTGTTGAGCTCTCCTCCCTATGTCCAACACCCCTTCTATTTGGCTAGGTAATTTTAATGCCATTAGGTTCCACTCTGAAAAGATTGGGGGCTCTCAGACTTGGTCCGCTGCTAAAGAGCTATGTAATCTCTCTCTTCTTAGTGCCTCTTTAGTTGATATCTCGTAGAGTGCCTGCCAGTTTACTTGGGCCAATAAGCAGACTGATGGCCACTACATTGCCTCAAAGATTGATAGAGTCTTAGGGAGTGACCAATGGCTTAGTTCCTTTCCTATGTCTCATGTCAGATTCTGTCCTGCTGGTCTTTCTGACCGCTCTCCTGTTGTGTTGTCGGTTGCTCCTAAAGGGACTAGTTTCAGGAAACCGTTCAAATATTTTAATTTTTGGGTTGACCATAAGGATTTCATTCCTGTTGTTAGTAGCATTTGGTGTAAATATGTGAAGGGCTCTCCCATGCTTAGAACTTGCTGCAAGCTGAGATCTTTGAAACCCCTTTTGAAAGATTTGAATAAAAAAGATTTCTGTGATTTAACCTCCCGGGTCCAATGTCTTAAGTTTGAGTTAGAATCTGCCCAAATTAAGCTTGAGAAGGACCCTTTGAATCTGGCTGTTCAAGCTTATGAGAGGGATTTGTATAAAAAATATGTCGATCTGTGCAAGGCTGAGGAGAGTCTTGCCCAGCAAAAGGCTAGGTCAATTGGCTTAACCTGGGGGATAGGAACACAAACTTCTTCTTCCGATCTATTAGAAACAACCAAAACAACCAGAATAGGAGCAGAATCAGTGGGATTACCTTAGAGAATGGGGTCCTGCTCACTAGCCCTTCTGATGTCCAAAATGCATTTGTTACATATTTTTCAAATTTGTTTGGCACTCCTCATGAAGATACTTATGTTGGGTTTGATAGGGTTAACTCTCTTATTAATAAGAGATTAACTATTGATCAGATGTTCACCATGGCCCAAGATGTGACTGCTGATGAGATAATAAGTGTTTTTAAGTCTCTCAACCCCAATAAAGCCCCGGGCCCTGATGGGTACTCTGCGGGGTTCTTCCATAGTGCTTGGGAGGTTGTTGGCCTTGAAGTTACCTAGGCCATTAAATCTTTCTTTGATTCGGGTGAGCTCCTTAAGGAGATTAATAGCACAACTATTTCTTTGGTTCCTAAAGTCCCCAATCCCTCTAAGGTTGGTGATTATAGACCCATCTCTTGTTGTAATACCATCTACAAGTGCATTGCCAAAATCATTGCCAATAGGATTAAGCTTGTTCTCCCTTATCTCATTGATCCTGTTCAGTCCGCTTTTGTCCATGGGAGGAGAATTGCTAACAATATCTTTTTATCTCAGGAGTTAATGAGGGGGTACCATAAAAATTCCCCCTCCCCTAAGTGTGCTATGAAAGTGGACCTTATGAAAGCTTACGATAATGTTCGTTGGGATTTCCTCTTTGATGTGCTTAAGGCTATGTCTTTTCCCACTAGGATGATTCATTGGATTAAAGCTTGTGTCGCGTCTGCTAGTTTCTCGGTTTGTATTAATGGGAGTGTCCATGGTTACTTTATGGGTCTAAGGGGCTGAGACAAGGTGATCCTATGTCTCCCTATCTCTTTGTTATTGTTATAGAGGTGCTTGCCAGAATCCTTGATGATAAAGCCAAAGACCCTCTTTTTAAATTTCATTGGAGATGTGGGAAATATAAAATTATCAATCTCTGCTTTGCTGATGACCTTATGGTCTTTTGTAAAGGGCACTCCCCTTCTTTCCAACTCATTAAGAGTGGCCTTTTAGAGTTCCAGGCTCTCTCTGGCTTAGCTCTTAACCCTCAGAAGAGTCAAGTTTTCTTTTCTGGTTGTGATTCCTCTCTTATTGATAATATTTTGAGGATTACACAATTTCAAGAGGGAAAGTTACCTGTGAGATACTTAGGTGTCCCCCTTATTCCCACCCGTCTGAAAGCCATTGATTGTAAGGGTCTTGTGGACAGGATTACAAATAGGTTCAAATCTTGGACTAACTTAACTCTGTCTTATGCTGGGAGGGGTCAATTGATTAGCACTATTCTTTTCTCTGTGAAAGTCTACTGGTCCTCCCTGTTCATCCTCCCAAAAAAGCTATTAAGGAGGTGGAAGCTTTGTGTTGGTCTTTCCTTTGGTCTGGCTTGAAGCTTAAAAAGTTTGGGGCCAAGGTTGCCTGGGATAGAATTTGTGTTCCCAAAAATGAAGGGGGTTTAGGTTTTAAGTCTTTGGAGATTTGGAATAGAGCTGCTGTGTCCAAGCACATTTGGTTCATGGTGGCAGGTGGGGAACAATCTATGTGGTGTCAATGGGTGAAGTCTTATTTGTTAAAAGGTAAAAGTTTTTGGGCGGTCAATGTGCCTGGTAATCCATCTTGGGTGTGGAGGAAGCTTTTATCCTTGAGGGAAGTTATGTATCCTTTAATTAGGTACAAAATTGGCAATGGGGAAGATACATTTCTTTGGTATGATAACTGGCACCCTTTTGGTTCTTTGTGGTCTAAGTATGGCAATAGATTAATGCATAATACTGCTTTAAATGCTCAATCTAAGGTTGCCTTTGCGCTGGGGGATAATGGGTGGACCTGGCCTAATGCCTCTTCTTGGGAGGTTAGGGAGATTACTACCCATATACCTCCTGATATTGTGCTCACTTCTGGTTGTCTTGATAAACCTATTTGGCTCCTCCACAATGATGGTAATTTTAGTATTGGCTCTATCTGGAATTCTTGGAGAATGAAATGGCCTAAAGTTACTTGGGCCAATCTAGTGTGGAGCCCCTACTCTATACCTAGGGTGGGGTTCATTGTCTGAATGGCTATCCTGGGTAGGTTAAATACTGGAGATAGGCTTGCCATCTTTGGTATCAACCCCAACCCTGTTTGCCCTCTATGTGGGATCATTGGGGAGGATCATGACCATTTGTTCTTTAAGTGTGCTTTCTCATCCACTGTTTGGGCTGCTATGCATTCCAAATGTAACTCGCAGTGGTATAGTACCGACTGGCTGGGCCTTGTAGAGGTGGTAGCCAATGATTGTAGGGGTGAATCCCTTGTCATTATTATCAAAAGGCTTGCTTTCAGTTGTACTGTGTATCATGTTTGGTTGGCGAGAAATAACAGAATTTTCAGTAATGAAAGGATTCCCGAAGAGGTTCTTTTGAAAAACATTGTATGTATGGTTAGATATAGAGCTCTTGCTCTTAGCAACATTAAGAGGTTCCCAACTGATATATGGTTCTTACAAGAATGGAGGTTGCCTCCAACCATCCTTAAAACTGAAAGGAGTGGCACCATGAGTGGGTTGAGTGACTGTGAGCTCAATACTGTGGGTTGAGTTTGGCCAGGCTCTATAGTGAGGTTTTTCTGTTGTTTCCTAATGATTCTTTCATTTTGAAGGTATGTGGTGTGGCAGGTTCTCAATGAGGGATGTGAGTTCTCTATATGTGGGTTGAGTGATGGTAGCCAGAAATTGAGAGCTAACTTCTACTCTTTGTTGTTTTGCAGGATGGGTTTTATGCTGGTCTGGGGGTTATTAGGGAACTTGTTGTTGAGGGTGAGCCATATATTGTTGTTTTAAATCCTTTCTTACTCTCTCACATGTTGCGGTGGTTTCCCAATGCCCTAACACTAATTTTTGTTATTGAGTTGTATGAAAATTGTGGGTTGAGTGCGTTAGCTCCCCTATATTGTGAGATTTGTTTTTTTACAATGTTATGTGAGTTGTTTGAATCTCATATTATTCGGGTATTGCTGTTATTCTCAGGTTCTACTAATATTTGTTGGGATGATCAACTGAATGGATATAACTCCTTTGCTGTCCAGATTGAGGCGTCAAGGTTTGATGGGGAGTCTCAAACTAGGCTGTACTGTTGCGCCAGTCACTGGGAGTCTGTCCGATGGAGAATTGTTTGCCTTATTTCTTTAACATTGTACTATTGTTTTGCTATGGAAAATGGTTCGTGGAAAGAGTCCCAGGTCATATGTTTTATGGGACAGTGGGATGGTTTGTTCTGTTGACTGTGGCTACTGGTAGCGCCCAAGATGTGATGAATTCCTTGTTTCTTATATACTTTATTGTTTTGCACTTAATGCTTGCTAGATGCTTAGTTTGTATTTTGTTTCATGCCTATACCTGCAGGCTGTGCAAGGTCTTTTTATGCTGTATGGTTCAGTACTCGTTCGGATGTGTTCATATGTCCCATATGTTTATTATAGGATGCATGAACATATTTGTATTCTCGGGCATTTCTTTTTTGGAGTACCTTGTTTTTGTATAAAGTGCTGTAGTCCGTGACTTTTGTGTGGATAGTTCATTAGGCTTTGATTTTGTTTGGTAGTTTTGGTTTTTTTTGTTTGTAATTGTAGGTTAGGGCCTGGGGCATGCCCCTTGTAAATTTGTAATTTCTCTGTTTTATTTTATGACTTATTCACCCAAAAAAAACTTCAGCAACCTAGCCTGGAGAAGATAGAATTAAAAAGGAATAGAAGTTCATTGACCATAGTTGGAACAAATTCCATAACCTTGTCATTTACTCTATTCCTTATTTTTATGAACTTGAATATGTAGCCGAGAAAGGTTTCAGATGTAATTGCTTTTGTCTTAATAAAGCTAAGATGTTTTCTCTTTATTTGGCATGGTCTAATTTTACCCTATTTGTCAAAAACAAACAAAGTTAAGGCTTCGAATTCACCAATTTTGTCCTTCAAAACTTGATTCGATCATACCCAATAAAAGGCTGGAAATCCAATCTGAACTTTTCCAACATATGGAGTATAATTGATAACCTTTGTCTTAGCTCTCCTTTTAGAATCAGAGCTTTGAATTCACCAATTTTGCCCTTTGAAACTTGATTTGATCATATCCAATTCCCCAACATATGTTTAATACAATCAAGCAGTTTCAAATCAATTAATTTTGCTTCGAACAAATAGTCTATATTTTCCAAAATATGAAAACCTCTTTTAAGGACTGCACTGTTTTATTCTAAAAAAGTGATTCCTTCTGTATACTACTAAACCAACTATTGGTTTGAAACCTAGAACAAACAAACTCTAACCGCAAGATATTTCAAATTTTGCTTCGAAGGATTTTACTCTCATCAAGAAACCTAAAAGCAGGTCTTTAATCCTTTTGAAACAAATACCTAAGCATTCATACGCCCTTAGGTGTGGAATGTGCTTCGAAGTCAACTTCCTACTTTCGAAGTTGTTTGTCACTTGATTTTGGCGCCAAAACTTGGCTTTGAAGCCACACATTTTATTTCGAAGTTAATATTAGTATTTGAGATACGTTTCCCTCTATAACTATCAATATTGAGGGAAACTCTTCGCACTCGTACCTTTAGTACTTCTTTATGAATTCCGCCCACATAAAACGACTGGGTGTTTTTCAGAGAGAAAGGTTTAAAAACCCTTTTATTTTGTGCTCCGAATTCACTTGGTCGCTTAACACACAAACCCTTCATCTTCTGTTGGCTTTCTCTTTCCTTTTACTCTCTTTTCCAACTTCGTCTTCTGAGAAAACTTGAAAAAACTCTTGTCAATGGCTTCTTCTTCCTTGAAAATACCAGTTGTGGAGCGTGCGAGTCCATCCGTAGCCTTGAAAAGGATCATTGATGAAGAGTGTGAGAAATACAAAGCTGGTGAGAAAAGTGCCATCGACGGACGCATCTTCATTCCCCGTCGCCATGAACAACAAGAATATATGCTTGAGCCCATTTTTAAGGAGATTCCCATAGAACTTCCAGCTCTGTATCCACATCTAGAAAATCATTGTCTCCTTTATGAAGGTGGTCTTGATTGGGGAAGCTGGAGGATGAACCGACCCCATCGTTGCTGGCCCATAGTGAGACCAGAGTGGGAGGAATGGTATGATCGGGTCGTCCCTGATAGGACATTGGATCTTCAGGAGCTCTGCTTCTTCGACGCCCTTCAATTATCCAAATTCACCATTTCAGAGGATCCTTTTTTAATACTTGTTACCCTTTGTTTTTGGAATTCTGCTTTCAATTTCTTTCAATTCAGATGTGGGATGATGACTCCTACTGTCCTTGACATTTGTCATCTGTTAGGATTATTCTCTACAAGTACCCCCATTGGTCCAGACTATCCTGACCTTAAAACCCTTTTTTTCCCTTCCCTCTCTGAACTCATCCTATAGTGACTTTGTCAAGGTTGAGAACAAAAGAGAGGGCCTTGTGACTGATATTGTATTAGCTTTGCAATTTCCTCTTTTGCACCTCTTCTCAGAGGATCATGCCTGAGTTTGCCCCTCTTGCCAAACCCTTGTTTTACAAAGAAAGGTGGCCTTAGCTCCATACGTTCTAGGTCATGTTTATAGAGCTTGTTCCCCTTTTTTGTGAAAAATCCTTGGATGTCAATCAAGGAGGCCCATTTTGGATACTTCAACTTTGGCTTTTTGCATACTTCACCAATTTACAATCTAAATGCCTAAGGTTTTTGGAGCCAAACCCTACCACTCATGGTATGAAGTTAGCCAATGTTTCACTCTATCCTTCCAACTTTGCTTTTTACTTTTCTTTCTTCCACCAACTCCCAGCTTCCCCTTCTTCTCACAGCTTCCGTCCCTTCGAAACTACCAATATTGGCCCATCCTGGTTGAGGACCTTTTTGAGTGATAGGTCCTGTCCTACACCCCAGCACAAAAACATGTGGGCCTCTATTCTAAGTCCCAGGGAATTATTCATTGGGACTATGAACCCCAGAGCTTACAAGTGTATCTCTGAGCCCCATTGTCCTGCCCAATTTGCTAGGCAATTTGGACTCTCACAGGGGGTCCTTATACCTCTCTGTAGTCAGACCAATTTAAGCCTTACCAGCAGGGATTTGAAGATTCAAAGATCTAAATTGGAAGAAGCAACTTCCAAATTCATCCAAGATTTAATTGACTTTGAGTCCTTACCCTTCATACCTCAAAGCAACATACTGAAAAGGTGCTAAAACTGGTAGATGGCCAATATGGAGGTGCACTTGGCCATTCCTCCTCAAGATCTGTTAATGGTACTGGATGTACCTCAAGCCAAGTCCAAAGGGACTGGAGCTATTATTTCCTCTACTGCTCATATTACTTCAACTCTTGCGCCTGCCACTACAAAGTATGTTCCTACTGCCTCACCTCTTCCTAGAGTTACTCGAGCTGCCTCGAAGAAAAGTATGTACTCTTGCTTTTTTTCTCTTCTTCTCCTTTATGATGCTCTTGCCCTCACTTATAGCTCTTTCTTTGGTGTAGGTGGTACGGGTGCCTCAGAGGGAGATTCTCCTCAAAAGGTTCAAGCTTTAAATCTTCTCAAGAGCAAACAACAACAACAAAAGAAAAGAAAGCTCTTGCTTGACCCTAAAGAGGAGGTACCTGAGGTTCATGTAGAAGAAAAGGAAGCAGAAAAAGAAGAGATAGAAAAAGATCAAGAGACACCCTTAAAAAGAAGTAGGAAAATGACTGTCTCTCTTTCTAATTTCACTAGAGACCCTACTCACGAAGCATCTGCTAAAGCAGTAGAAGCAGAACATTCTAAAGAGCTTATTGCATTTCAGAGGACTGAGAAGAGGAGGCAACAACAAATGCTTAGGGATGAAGCTGTTGCTGCTAATGAACTCTAAAGAGAAGCTGTAAGAAAACAACAAACTGCTGAACATTATACCCTTCGCAGCTCCTCAACCATTGCCACCACTTCTGAAACTAGTAATTTCTTTTCGTGTCTCTATTTTCCTTTCTCAAATTCTTGATACTGAGACTTAACATTACTTTGTATTTCTTCTTTTGCAGCAACAACTATTTTACCTTCTCCTTCAATA